AGAATATTTTAAAATATTTTTCGTCAAACGAAATTTTATATTTGTGGATATAATATGCGTTTTGTTTATATTAGTTGCTATCGTGTAAATTTATTTATATAATGCTACAAGTTTCGCAAATTTTTTTTGTTGGAAAGTAAAATGAAGTTTAATTATGAATGAAATTATAAATATTTCATTGCACGATAGGTATCTTTGACACTATCCACTATCCAAAATCATATCTTGTTTATTTTCTCGTGATTCATAATGTGATATGGTTATATCATATATTCCATTTTTTTACTTAACGTTAGTAATCAAAACATGTTTTTGTGAAAGTAGCTCATAATCAGTTCGTATATTTCATATAACGTACATACATATGTCACTAATAATGTTAGTTTTATTTAAGTATGATGATACTATTATGTTAATTGTTATATTTTGTTGAACAATAAAATATTTAATTACGAATCTTTTAGATATTTATATTGTAATTAAAATAATAATTAAAATAGCAAAAAATGAATGTATTTGTAAGTAACAAATATATCTTTATTTTTTTAAAGTGCACATGTTAATACAAAAAATTAAATTTGGTAAAAATTATTTCTTATGATAATCAGTCTGATATCTAATCTATAAGTAAAGAAATGCGTAAAAATACAATAAAAATTATAATGTTTGGGCATGTTGAATAATTTAATTTCAATTTTAGGTAATTGATTGTTACGTGATTAAAATAATAATAGTCATATGTATAGAGATGTCACAAAATGTCGCATTTATTTATAGTAATATCAATTTTTATTTTTTTTTGCTTTTACCTAGTGTTAACGTGTGATGCTGGGGTTGTTGAGCGAATTGAGTTTTTCGCCTATTGAATTCTAAAATATCATCCTCGAGTTTCTTTCTACTTTCTTCCAGCTTTTTCTTTTCCTCTGTATGATCTTTTTTCAGTTTATCGAATTTATTATGAAGCTAAAAATATATAAATAAGATTATATTATAGAATAGATATATTAAAAAAAAAAAATTAATAGTTACCTCTTTTTCCGCTTCTTTTAATTCAGCTTCTTTTTCTTTTACTCGGGCCACGAACATCTGCCGCATTTCATCTTCTTTTTGTTGAAGTTCTTGCAAATGGATGGATCTTTTTGCTTCACAGGTTTGTTGAAAACTAACTGGTTTATTTTCACTATCAACATCGCTAAAACCCATCTGTAAATCATAATTATAAATAATTGTATATTAAATCGCTTATAGAAATATTTAATGTATGCAACGAAACCTGTTCTAATCGCTTTCTACGATATAATTCGTAATGACGGCAATGCGTTTTTTCTCTCATATCTTCCATATTTGTCCTTATCAACATTTCGCGCAACTTAACGAAGTCACAATGGGATTCATTTTCCACTATGAAAAGAATGAATTTTATGAATAGATAATTCATATATTTTAATAATAAAAAATAAAATGAACAATATTTAATTCTACCTTGTACCGTGCCCCATGGATATTGACGAGAACGCATCATTTTATTTCCAACCCGAACAAAATCTGTGCTACCAACTACTGCAAAAGGTACATGAGCATTCATACTAGTATTTACTTCTGCGACGCTTTCGTCGTCAGTAGGAAATTGATAAATATGAACACCATTATTTTGTAATTCAGATATAATTTTTGTCTGAAACAAATAATAGAATATAAAATCTGTAATGTATAAATATATTTATATATTCTATCATTTCTGTACATACCTTAAACTTTTGTAATTCTGTTTTTGATATTGTATCAGCTTTAGCAATAATTGGTATAATATTAACTTTTGTGTCAAGTTTCTTCATACAGACTAGATCAATTGATTTTAAACTACAATTATATTAATAAAAATTATATATTTAAGTATTAAAAAAAATAAATTTTATACAAGAAATATTTTATATCATTTTATATATCTCACCCATGTCCAGTTGGACAAATGAAATATAAGCAAACATGAATACGACTATCATGATAAGTTGCCAAAGATCGTTTTATCTTTAATTCTTCTTGTAAATATGCTTCAAATTGAGCATCTATATAATCAACAACAGCTTTAAAACTGTCTTCTTTGTTAATTTGATCACCATATCCAACTGTATCAACAATAGTAAGTTTCAATCTAACATTGCTCTCTTGCAATTCGTATGTATGGGCTTTAAGTTTTACAGCAGGAAGATTGTGTGAACTTGGAGTAGATTCAAAACTTGTGTTAAAAAGAGAATCCATAAGGGTAGATTTTCCAAGACCAGTTTCACCTATTAAAAGAACAATTATAAACATTAATTATAAAAATTTTCATTATTCATATTAAATTATTATATAATATTTTGCCTACCGATACAGAGGATATTAAAGACAAATCCATTCTGAACTGATTTATTCACCAATTGATCCGGAAGACTATCAAATCCAACATGACCAGATAATTTTAAATTACGTATGGTAGATTCCATCTGAAAATACATGGTGAAAAATATTAACGATAATAAGTTGACCGGAAATTAGCAGTACAATCCATATACGGAATACTTCATTAAGAATACTGTTGTTATGACAGAGAACCAACGCCCTATAAACTATAAACATTAAATATATGTCATTGAAGGAGTGGCTTTATGTTTATATATAAAAAAAGATCACTTAAATGTGATTCCTTTCAGTAGAAATAATAGCTAAATAAGATATAATATTGGCGCAAAATTTTTAAAAAATGAGACTTACCTTGGCACGCTCAACGTCTGCCGACGCCATTTTTACTACTAATGACGCGTGCGTTACTCAATCTATATACTTCCCTGTAATAACGTAATATATACATTATTATTCATCGTAATCTACAGTCCTTATTCATGAGAGATAAAATCAATTCAAAGAATCAATTATTATTTTGCAATTATTTTTTTATATATAAGAATGATTTTATAAATATGTAATACAAATACTTTTAAAATTTTTCATATGTATTTAATCAATATTACTTGAGATTATTCTCAACTAGCCAACAATTTTACTGATAGACATTTAAATTAACCAATAAATTAAATAATGTAAAATAAACTGACAGATATAAATTGACAGTTAATTTGACATAAATAATTCATAATTATTTAGCGTTGAAATTTACATTCTGTTTCTGTGTGATATTATCAATATCTTTCAATAAATAAATTTTTCTATAATATTTATTCATACAATTTCAAATTTGTATTAAGTAGTTTATAAATCCCGCCATCTCCCCACCATAGTAGCGCACGCAGCTCAGGTAGGAATTTACAAGCTCAGTTAGTGTTGGTACTGCGACCGCGTCGCTAGGGTGTTTCGCGTTGCCGTACTGGCAGGCTCCTCATAACAGTGTCTACTTTCTAACATGGCAGATCAATTTGTGTTGTATTATCATGTGACGAGGAAAAGCTCTCGTTTATAAGACGGTTTCTGTGTAAACTATCGTAGATTTTCCTCGCGAGGAAAACGTGTTGTCAGCTTAAATAACCGTCGCGATGGCGGACATGAAAAGTCCACCGTTCAGTGACATTAAACGGCCCGAGGAGGTGGTGGCGATGGCGATGAACGACAGCTTGAAATTCGCCGTGCTGATCGGGCTGATCGAAGTGGGACAGGTGTCGAATCGGGAAGTTGTCAACACCGTGCTTCATCTGGTGAGTAACAATAAAATTTTATAAATCTATTCGGCGTGCCGGCTGTCTATTTCACGGTCATTCCCGCCGATTTCGCGACATCCGATGAAATCTGTCAACCCGACCTGTCAAACTGTACGCGACAATCAGTACGGTGCACGATTGTCGCATTCTGTGAAATATTTCATCGTTTAATGAAAATGGATAGTAATACGACGCGAGTCAATTAAGAGAGGACACGAAGCGAATCAGTAACGCTTCTTTTTCGTATGATTATATTCAATGTTAACCTGAAAACCTTGCTCAAATGTCATGCTACTTTTACCGTAAACAAGACCTTGCTTACATATTTTTTTTCCCCCGTTCAATTCGGACCATATGTTTCGTTACATTTTAAATTTGAAATCTATCGTCATTCAATTTTATCAATTCTCTTTATTCGAATAAATTTATCGACTAATACTTTCTTTATCTTTTTTTTCGGAATCTATCTTCTTATCACAATCGAAATTTAATTTCAATTTTCATCGATTCACGCGTGTCGCGACTAATTCTATCATTAGGGGCTTATAAATTAAGGAGAAAAAAGTGTAACGCGATAATCGTAGATTCGTAGCGGCAGCAAGTTTATGGTTGCGCTTTTATTACTTTCAATCACGCATTTCATAGTTGCTGTGCTAGGAAGTGATGTTTATACGTCAGCTTGTCGCGTTCTCGATACCATTTTTATTTCTCGAGGGAATTCGGCTCGCGCGAAGTGTCCATCGCGCGCCACGTAGAAAAACACGCTTATCACCATGATCTTGTTGCGCACACTGTTCCCGCGTGGGTCGCTCGTTAAAATTTCCGTCGATCGCGTGGCAAACCGATCGAGCATTCGTTTGTTAATCAACTTTCGATTGTACGATTAAACATATGAAAAATATTCACATCATAGAAATTTTGGAGTGATGGTAAATAAATTTTAGAAAAAGAATTTTGATTCGTTCATGGTAGTTATTTCAATTATTCGAAATATTAAGAATTGAGCATAGTCAAGGACAAATATCAATAGATTTATTGATATTAGATTATTGATATATAAATATTAGGTATTAATATTAGGTATAATAGGTAATAAATATATTTTTTTCATTAATTACAAACATTAATTATAATGTGTAAATTTGGAATCGAAATTATTTAAAGGAATTTAGATTATAAACACTAGAGTTTAACCTATGATATAAAAAAAAAAAAAATAAGTTTTTTCGAAGAAAGAATATTATTAGATAAATTTACAAAAGTTTCACGATCAATTTCGTAAAATTTCTGTAATCAAATCATCGATGTTACTATTTTAGATGAAGTATAACTTCTCAAGGACGTGTGCCCGAATAAGTGTTTGTATAATCTTTAGGACTTTCGAGATTTTGTTCAAATAGCCTAAAGCTAATCGAGCAAATATAGATAAGCATAAATCTTGGCAAAATTCTTCGTGTAGAAACTATGAACTATTGAACATCTTTGCAAATATTATAACTGAATGAAATTACTCAGATTCTATCTCAAAGTATCTGTAGCTCAAAGTTATTTTGAGTCTAAACATAGACAGCAAAAGAAAAAAAAAAAGAAATTCTTTGCTAAAAATAAACTTTATTTTTAAACTTTATTGAATTTATAGATATATAAGTAAGAGTAAAATTTTGAAATATAAAAATTGATTAAACGAGTGTTTCCGTTGAGACTTGATAAACTTTGTTCTACGATAGCCTCGGATTTCTTGTTCATTAGTCAAATTATTCTTAAGTGGAAAAAAGTAATTAGAAAGGTAATTAGTGAAAAAGTCTTTTAGTGATCACTTTTTGAAGAAAATTCAAGATAATATCGATGGCTTGTAGTTGTTAATGAGTATACGTTGATTTATGATATTAAGGAAATTCTAATATGCTTATTCTTAGAAATTAAAAAATTCTTCAAGTTATAAACCAGGCATAAATTGGATTTGTGATACCTAAAGTATTTAAGTAGAAATTTCTTCTTAGAGATCATCTGATATCAGGAACAACACTATACATTTTCTATTAATCTATCTTTCCACGTCTTATTATTTATAAAAATGAATATTAAATATAACATTTAAAATATAAAACATAATTTAATTTGGGATTTAATTTCCTTAAAAATATCATCAATTTTTGAAAATTCTAATCGAGTCAATATAAAAAGTATATTTAAAAATTTATATAATAGTCGCTAAACGATTAAAATTTTCCAAGAAACATCTCATAATTACCTTAACAAAGCACTTCGAAACGAAGAACGTGAAAAATTCCTTCATACCGCGATCGGTAAATCCGTGGTCCAACAACTCCACTCGTATATCAGATACAAACAACCTCGTTAAGATTTCGTTGAAACATGGAGCAACCATAGAAACACGGTATATAGGCAGACGTGGCCTGTGCCGAAGACAAATAGGTAGCACGTGGCAGCGATTAATGTCTCGCGTCACGGTTGCACGGAGTTACGATCGCGCCGCTTTTCCGATTCCATCTCTCTCAACCGGTTGGTTCACAGAGTTAGCTATCTGTATCGCCGATTTCTCCTCTTTTCCATTGATCTTCTCTCGTGAGGTTGCCACGCTCTACGAGACGCACGGACGCACAGACAAACGTTTGCCACGGGTTCGCCTCGACCCTGAATCGATTAGCGTCATCGGCGATCCTGGCGCGGCTTTGGGAGGACGAACGTGACTGAAGGAGAGGATCGGGAATGGGCTTCATTTTCTGGAGAACGGGCCCTCTAATAAAGTGAAAGCGTGGAGGTGAAGCGATCATGCGTGGATATAGTTGATATAGGTGGATACACCTATATAGGTGGAAGAGATTTTCGTAACGATGGAGATTGATCTTGAGGATGAAGGTGAGGGGGTAGTGTGTGAAGAGAATTTGTGCGTGTAGGTAGATCGATATACTTTTATTTATGGGTGTACTTATGGAAAAATATGGATAGAAGATTAGTAAAAGATCGTTAAATTATCGATCTCGTTGGATTGGAAAGAAATGGAAAGGTAAAAAATTTCGGTGATGCGCATTATATAATATCGAGGGAGATTTAATCGATGCTTGTAAATATTGTTAGGAAATTCGTATTGAAATAAAAAGCGAAAGATCGTTCTATAAGTATCTTGTCGTTTAATTATCCCTGGTCGTTAGTTCACATCGTTATAATTTATGTAGTTATCGTTATTATTTATAGTAGATTTTTATCCTGCGTAGAGAATATGCGTTATTTGAATTAAAATATTTTGTTGACCGAAGTATTTGATTTCCTGTTCGTCTTCTTTTCGGATCTTCGACTTTGTTTTCACATCGTTCAAAAGAAAACTCTTTCTAGAAACTCCTGTTTTCCGAGAGAAAAGATCTTTCGCATGTAAAAATTATAAAAAATTTTTATCTTGCAATTTATTTGTCAATTGTGGATAATATTCAGATATCATTATTTAATCCTTATTTAATTCTTCACTGAAAATGAAAATGAAAAATTTCATTTATATTTCAACTATAACATTTCAATTGAGTATAATTTAATATTATGATGCAAGAGGGAAAGAATTATTCAATGTTTTAATTGCGCTTAGGTTAAATCGGTAATTATTTGGATGATTGTGTTATTTAAAGTCTTTATATGTTATATTTAAGTATAATTGTTTCTAGACTTTTAAAAAAAATTAAAAAAATTGTGGAATATTTTCTACTATCTTCTAAACATTATCACAATTCGTTTAATTCTTCAAAGTAAAATTCTTCAAGGTAAAATTTCAAGGTTTGAGACTT